CTTCCATTTGCCACATTCAATGCACACTCGACGTCTCAATGCAACTCTTCCTCCAGTTTAAGTGAACTAAACATGACGACGCTATCTATCAAAGGTTATTACTAATAAAGCCTTTGAAGATAAAGCAGTTGATTCACTGGGCTAATAGCCTTGAGGCGGAATATGAGCATTTCACACATCTCTTACATTCCTGACAAAGAGACAGAAGAAGGAGACCCACTTTGGATGATATTGGCAAATATTCTAGAAACTTCCCGAGAACTTCCCCCTCTAGATCATTCAAGCCTGATTTACCAACAGACTGGTGAGTTTCAACCAAGAGATATTACAAGGTATTCCCAATCTATACACTGTTTTCTTCCTCAGTAGCTACAGCTATGTGGGTGTGCTCAGAAAGCTCTGCTGTTAAAAGGCCTTCCTACTCAAAAGGTCGAGAACTTCATAGATAGACTCAGTTTTCCTACCTTCCTCATTTTACCAATTTCCACCCTAAAATGTGGCTTTAAATTTAATACTGGGGGCAAAATATACCTTGAGCATAACCTCCATCTAGGCAATAAAGACTTTTAAGGGGAAAAAACCTACAGAAAGCATTAATTCTGATGGTCAAAATCCGTAACGGGGGAAAATGCATATCACAGTAGTGCTGGGTGCAAAATGACCGTAGCAGCAACTGTAACCACGAGACAAGAGCAGCTGCAGAGGAAAGAATCTGTTATCTCGGGTCAGAAGTCCCTGGATCAAGTCCCAGCAATTCCGCCTACTAGCTCTGTAACCTTGGACAAGTCCATCTCTTGACCTGTAAGAGGTACTAAAGAAGAAAAAACATGCTTTCAAGGCTGTTGGGCTCAAATTAAATAATGAGGTGGAAGTGCTTTGTCAACCAGAAGAAGCTAAAATAAATTGTTACTTGTTGCCATGATAATAACAACAACTCTGGGTTTGCAATTTTGTTTTGTTTTGTTTTGTCTTGTTGTACAGGCTGGTCCTGAACTTCTGGCCGCAAGCAATCTTTCCATTTCAGCCTCCCAAGTAGCTGAGACCATAGGTGCATGCCGCTTTGCTTGGTTTGATTTTGCAGTTTTTCCTGACATTTAACTCAAAATCGTTTCATTTTTAGTAAGTTTTGCACTTGAGAGATACTGCCATCAAAGAGTAATAAATGCTTTGATTCACTTGGTCTAGATTACAAGATGATTTATTTGTTCTCCAAACTGCCACAGTACATTTTTCACTTCTTTTTCCTCTCAGTTTGACAAGTCTCTGATTCCATCTCGGCTTCTGATGAAGGAAATCCCCACTGGTTTTAACCCCTTTTCTTTCCAAGCTCATTTTTCTTCTCTGACATGGGGCGTCAAAGCTGGAAGGGAATTATGCAAAGCCTCTCCACTCTGAAAGTATCAAACTTCCTTTGCAAAGAGATATTTTCCTATTTCAGCACAGAAAGCACTACAATGCTTAACTTAATACGAAGAGAAAAGCAATGGCCAAAGCTGCTCTAGTCAGGATTTCTTGGTCTATGTTGAATGGGCTGTGGATGGTTGGAGAGTGTGGATTACACTTGGGTTCAGGCAAGTCTTTCAGAACTCAGCCTGAGACAGGAAGTGATGCAATCAGCTCTCACATGAACTGAGAGGCTGTCATGTGCACCCAGCCGCTTCCTGTCTCAATGGGCAACAGGGGAATGCAGAGGGGAGAGTAGGGCATGGGGAAGTGGGTCTTGGGGAGAGGGAAGAAGAGGCCAGATACAGGCAGTGGGAAAAGTCCCAACTCTGCCCCTCACAGTTTCCCGTATTCTTCTAGGGATGACCAATCTCCTAATGACCAATCTCTCATTGTGAAAATCTGCCAAATTAAACACCCCCTGCGAACACTGAATTTCCCAACTCTGACGCTATTGATAAGGGTTATGGAAGACAGCAAACCTCATCATTATTGCACAGCCTACCAACTGTTTAGAGCTCACACAGCAAATGGACTTCTATAATTCCTCTCCTGCTTTATCCCTAAATTTCCACCCTAAATAGTAAAGTGGGGGGAAGGCATAGAAAAGGTTGGATTATCAAAGTATCTGGGCACCAGGTATCTCTGTCACTCTGGGCCAGCTTTAATAATATTTACCATTGTCATGTTATTCACTGTGGAAAAGTGAGAGTTAATTAGTGGCACATGAAAGAAAAGAAAAGGTCAGATAATTTAGAGATGGCCTTCTCCGCACAGACAGATCATTTCAGAGAGGTGCGTGAAGGAGGAGGAGGAGCGCTGGGTAGCAGTGGTCATCAGTGAGGGCATTCCAGGCGGACCGGGAAGCAGGCGTAGTGAGCAGAAAGAGGAAGGGGAAGGTATGCCATTTCGGGCAGAAGCTGAAATGTACAAGCTCTACTACTTGTTGCCAAGGGTAAGGCCCCCTTCTCAAACTATCTGTATTATATTAAGCAAAGCCACAAGGGCATGAAGCAGACAGTGATTAAGGATGGGGAACAGGTGGTCTCATCAGCTCCACCTTGAGGGAACGACTAGGAAAGAGTCTGAGTGAGGATTGCACCTTGAGCAAAGATGAGCTCCAAAGGAGCCAGTGCTTAGCTGTAAAGAACATGAATTTTGTGCTGAACGAACATGCTGAGGGTCCGGCCGGCTACTGCTGACCCGTGACTCTCCCAGTGACATCGAGCAGTCCATGCACTTGAGCCAGATGTCCTGCGGGTTCTACCAAGGGGCCCTGCTAGGAAAGAGACCCTGCCCCTGTGAACATGAGCTCACGCAGCACAGGCTGGATTTGGTAAACTGGCTTGCATGGAGGCCAGTGGTGCTGGTCTTGACTGCCCTCAGCAACTCCTGTCACTGAGGGGGCTCAGCCCCATCAGCATTGACAGGAGAGTCAACTGAAGCCCCCTGGAATCCACGGCCCAACAATCACAGTCAATGTCAGCCTCTGTGGTTACCTTCCTCATAAGCTGCAAAGGTCTAGAAAGTAACTTCTCCCCCTATTTATTTCTAAGTCAGAAAAATTACTCTTCGAGGTAATGGTAGTAATTCACTAAATTAATGACTCGGCATAGAGGCCTTGCCTTGGACCTTAAAAGCTTTGACTATGTCAAGATAATGTCTTACAAGATAAGCCAGGCGAAACCCAATACAAAATACCCCTGTGACAAAACAAAGTCATTCTCTGGGTACAGTACACACCCCAATGTGTGTAATTTCTACCCTAAAGAACTGTGGGCACAGATCAGACCCCCAGCAGATGGAATGGCTGTGACCACTCAGGCCCTCCAGGCCACGTGTCCGGATGTTCCATAGCCCTGTCCAAGTGACAAAGCTTTGCTATACTCCTGAAGTCTCTTGGCCCACGGGGACACCCAAATCACCATCTGAGTAGAGGGCCTCATTGAACCATGTAAGTATAACCCATTTATCAGACTTCTGCTTTCTCCATTTCCTAATCTGTTTTCTACACAGGATCTAGAGCTGCCCCCAACCAGCCTCTTACTGCAGAGTGGTGGTTTTCAAACTATAGTTCTGGAAACCTTGGAACCCCATGGAGCCTCCCAGGGGCCCCAGTAGAGACTTTGAGGACAGGGTCGACAGGGCTGCTGGGTCCTTTCCTCGCCCCTCTGTTCTAACACAGCAATTATGCTTCTTTCTTATTAGATGCTGGCATTCCAGGGGACACTTGCATTTCCAACTCAGATAAGGAAATTGCTTGCCGAGTCCCAGAAGCGGAGAGGGCGCCTGAGCAGTGTGACTCACCCATCACACACCTTTACTGGAAGGATGGGCACTGCCCGCCCTTGGGTTTTCCCACCTTCCACCAGCAGGCTCTGAGGTGCTTGTGTCCATGCCAAGCATGTAACACAACATCTGTGTTTGATGTGACCCTCAACGCTATCTCCTTAAAGTAGGAATTAGCATTCCTGTTTTAAAGGCAAATAAAGAAATCCAAATAGGCAAAGGACTTTCTTGGAAGCAGTATGGCTATCGAGTGGCAGAGCCAGGACACAAACTCCAGTCTCCAGATGCTGAATGCCAGCTTAGCCCATGATCCTCTATTACAGATCCCGTGTCCAGCCCTATCTATGTGAGGTCCTTCACCTCTGTCCTCAAGCGTTCCTTGGATCTCACCTTCCCAAGAAGGCTAAAGCAATTTCCTAACTAAAAGAGGGTCTGAGAAAAGAAGTGGGAGCAAAAAAGAAAGATCAGAGGGGCCAGCCTTCCCTAGGACTTCTATAAATCTCCTTTGCTACAAACACTGGGCTTCATGGAACCACTCATTACTAATACTGAGAAACAAGCAAGCAAATTACTGAACATGACGAACGGACACAATGAAACTGATAAAAGTCAGCAGCTGGCATCATTCAAGTGTGCATTTCCTTAATATTTTGGGCACATTGTAGGGCTTTTGGATAACTGCCTGTGCTCTTAAATACACTTCAGGAAACATGTGATTCCAAAGTAAATAAACAGGCAACTCCTAGGCTAGTACTAAAAATAGTACAAATGAATATTTCACAGAATCCTGATGGCACATCCAACAAGAAGGACTGAGAAGGGAAGAGTAGGAAAGAGACATAGTTCCTCTGTTTTCAAGAAATGAAGGACTTAAAAGTATCAGCACATTCAATTTGTAACTTAAATAAAACATACGCATCGCATCGTTTAAAAGTTGCTGTGCTTACATAGTGTGGAACTGTCTCTCTCAAATGCTGAGAAAGTGATTGATTCAGCTGCACTGTTTCTATGACTTGTGAAACGAACATAAGTAGAAGGAGGCTGCTTGGCTAATAGAAGATGATACCCAGGTCAAAACTCGACACGTGCACAAGATCCATGAGAATCTCCTATTACTCTTTCCTAGAATTGTACTGTGGAGGGTCTTTTCTCATAACTGCTACTGGAAAACATTCAACGAAAATTCCTTCTCCCTGGAATAATAACTGCTTCATGAATTTGACACAGGGAAGCCTTTGCAAATGCACATGCACATTGGGCTTTTTTACCTGAGCAGAAAAGTCAATGAGCTTTGGAAGCAGCACTCTGCCACCTTCGTCGCTCTTCAGGAAATCCAGCAAACTGCCTACGGAGAAAGAAAGAAAAGTTAGTGTAGTTCAAACACAGGATAAAAAACATCTAATCCAAATTCACGTCATCATTACTATTAGAGCGAAACCCCCCACAAAATAATTGACTTTACAATTCTATGTGGTTATAAATCCTTTCCCTGACTTTGGTCAAACTCAGGACCCAATGTGAAACATGGCATGTGCTCCAGGTGGGAAAGAGTGAGGGTGGATACCACTTCTCTCTCTACAGCTGTCTGAGAACCATGCGTTTCAGAGTACCCGCCACCGTGATTCACTCATTGCAGCCTCCCAATCTTTAGCCAGCTCACTGGAAGACCTGCCCTCTGCAGATGGTTGACTAGGCTTGCTCCCTTCTGTATCCAGCAAAAAGCACAGAACTTGGCACATACTGTAGGTGCTCAATGAATGTTTTTTTGTGTTTTTTGAGACAGGTTCTCAGTCTGTCACCCAGGCTGGAGTGCAGTGGCACGATTACAGCTCACTGCAGCATCAGCCTCCCTGGCTCAAGCGATCCTCCCACTTTCAGCCTTCCACGTAACTGAGGGTGCGTGCCATCACACCCAGCTAATTCTTTTTAATTTTTATGTAGAGATATGATTTCAGCATGTTGCCCAGGTTGGTCTCAAACTCCTGGACTCAAGCAATCCTCCCACCTTGGCCTTTCAACATGTGGGGATTCTAAGCATGAGCCACCACGCCCGGCCTCAATGAGCATTTGATGAGTGCACTGTGCTTTGGAAAAAAGTGAGACCTACCTAAGAAGGAGTGTGCTGCTGAACGAACTCTCCATTGTCCTACGGCCTCCTCTCTAAAACAAGACTTGTTTTTCCCTAGAACTTTACGTGCCAGCCTCACAGGTACTCTTGGTCAAGTTGTTTACCTCATCTAGGTCTCTGTAAAGTGGGCATGTACTAGAGGCTGTATTAGACTTTTGGGGAGGATGTAATCAAAGGTTGCATCCAAAGCATATACCATGATGGTGAGCAGGTAGTAAGTGTTCAGTACACGTTATGCTACCTAATCCATGACACAGGAGCATAGTACTTAGCCCTCAGGCTGCTGAAAAGACTGAGTGAGGTCACACATGGAAAGCACCAAGAGCAGTCTGGTATATAGTAAGTGCTCAATAAATATAAGGCATTGTCGGCGAGGTATGGTGGCTCACGCCTGTAATCCTAGCACTCTGGGAGGCCAAGACAGGTGGATGCCCTGAGGTCGGGAGTTCAAGACCAGCCTGGCCAATGTGATGAAACCCTTTTTCTACTAAAAAATACAAAAATTAGCCAGGTGTGGTGGCAGGCACCTATAATCCCAGCTACTCAGGAGGTTGAGGCAGGCGAATTGTTGGAACCTGGAAGGTGGAGGTTACAATGAGCCGAGATAGTGCCACTGCACTCCAGCCTGGGCATTAGAGTAAGACTCTATCTCAAAAAAAAAAAAAAAAAAAAAAAGTAGACATTGTTACATAGGAAAACTCATATTTACACTTATCATTAAGAATTCTCTAAGTTAATTAATTCAACAATGCTTACTGAACTCTATAAGTCATCTGGCCCTGTGCCTGGTATCTGGGCTATAGCAACTCAAGCCACAAGGGCTAATTGGTTTGTTTGTTTCTTTGTTTTATTTATTTTTTTTTAGAGATGGAGTTTTGCCATGTTGGCCAGGATGGTTTGGAACCCCTGACCTCCAGTGATCCACCCACTTTGGCCTCCCAAAGTGCTGGGATTACAGGCGTGAGCCACTGCGCCTGGCCCTTGTTTGGAAGGACTGTGAGTGACTGATATTTTGAAATACTCACAGATATTAAATAAGAAAATGTAATATTCATCTTTTGAATCTATTCAGCTATGACATCATACTACCATCTCCACTGTGTATGAGATGATTGCTATCCTGGATCATTGCTTATGTTTATTCATTACTTCTGAGGACTTTTAAAAAATAATTTGGCAGTTTATTAGTATGTTTGAATCAACATCCTTCTTCCTTTTTAACCTCTAGTTCAGGAATGAACTGGAGGTTAAAAAGGAAGAAGGATGTTGATTCAAAGCCTTCTTCTATGTAAAGGTGATCATAGTGGAAGAAAAAATGATTGCTTGAAGTCTATTCTCCTGCAATTCTATGATTACATAGGAAGTTAACCTCCGCAAGTTTTAAAAAACATTAATATTTAAAAGTGGCACCCTGAACATTTAGATAATGCTGAAGAGGAAGATTAATATTAGATAAAGAACAAAAAGAGGCTGAGCCTGGTAGCTCACGCCAGTAATCCTAACACTTTAGGAGGCTGAGGCAGGCAGATTGCCTGAGATCAGGAGTTCAAGACCAGCCTGATCAACATGACGAAATCCTGTCTCTACAAAAAAAAAAAAAATTGGCTGGTTCATGGTGGAGCGTGCCTGTAGTCCCAGCTACTAGGGACACTGAGGCAGGAGAATCACTTGAATCCGGGAGATGGAGGTCGCAGTGAGCGGATATCGTGCCACTGCACTCCAGCCTAGGTGACGGAGAGAGACTCTGTCTCCACAAAAAATAAAAAAGAAAGAAAGAAAGAAAGAGGAATTTGGTACTGAACAATCTGTACTAAATCTGTAGTATTAGAATTCTGGGAATTCACTTTTCAAGTATATGACAAAAAGATTCTCTTTTGAAATACGTATTAATTCATTTGATAGATATTTATTGGGGGCTACTAGGTATGGGGTACTATTCTCAGGGTAATAGGTACATGCAGGCAGATGCAGAGAAAACAGGATTAGATTTCAATTGTGTGACATGGATTACTTCTGGTGATTAGGTTTATAAAAATGCTCTGTCTTCCCATATTTCCTGATTTTTCGGTAGTTGGTATACTGTTTGATAATTAAACTATCTGAGTGATCTCTGAACGCTTACACATTTTACTTTTTGCATTTGAAACCCTTGTAAGCTCTGGGTAGTGGAAGGAACTCACCCTTGGCCATGTACTCAGTGATGATGTAAATAGGCTCCTCCCTGGTGACCACGGCGTAGAGCCTCACGAGCTTGTCATGCTGCAGAGTCTTCATGAGGTTGGCTTCTTCCAGGAAGGCTTGCACAGACATCGTGCCCGGCTTCAGGGTTTTCACAGCCACCTTGGTACTGTTGTTATAATAACCTAGGAAGAAAAAAGAAGGTGGGGCATGCTTTATAAAACAGAAAATGTCAAACTTCACTTTGCAGACGCAGAGTTAGCAGAAAATTTAATTACAGATTAAAAAAATCTTTAGTTACTGGGTGCTGTAGCTTATGCCTGTAATCCCAGCACTTTGGGAGGCCAAGGCGGGCACATCACCTGAGGTCAGGAGTTCGAGACCAGCCTGACCAACATGGAGAAACCCTGTCTCTACTAAAAATACAAAACGTAGCTGGGCATGGTGGCACCTGCCTATAATCCCAGCTACTCGGGAGGCTGGGACAGGAGAATTGCTTGAACCCATGAGGCAGAGGCTGCAGTGAGCTGAGATTATATCATCACACACCAGCCTGGGCAACAAGAGTGAAACTCTGTCTCAGAAAGAAAATAAAAGACCTGCATTAAACACTACGTAAGTGATAAAATTAGGGGAGGCTAGATGAAAAGTATCTAGGAATTTTCTTTTTTTACCAAAAAATGCTTAAATTATTCAAAAATCAAAACGTTTTTATGAAATGATAGTAAAAAAAGTTTTCATTGGTACTGCACCATGAGGACTAATATTTTTCTTTTTTCGAAGACTGAATCTTGCTCTATTGCCCAGGCAATGCAGTGGCACGATCTTGGCTCACTGCAATCTCCACCTCCCAGGTTCAAGCGATTCTCATGCCTCAGATTGTTGAGTAGCTGGGTTTATAGGTGCCCACCACCATACCTGGTTAATTTGTGTATTTTTAGTAGAGATGGGGTTTCACCATGCTTGTCAGGCTGGTCTGGAACTCAAAGTGCTGGGATTATAGGCAGGAGCCACAGTGCCCAGCTAAGGACTGATATTTTTCTCTAATAATAAAATGTTTTTTATTCAAGACAAAAAAACAAACCTCTATGTCTGCTATAATCCCTTACATACGTATACATACACACACAGGCATATGCTCACATTATAATCCCCATTTTAAAGTACGGGCATATTTTATACATATACAGACACACACGTATAAATAATGGTCTGGAAGAAAAGACCAAAATACACCAAATGCTGGTTAGTTCCAATGGTGTAATTATGAGTGATTTAATTTGTTCACTATATCTTTAACTATTTGCCAAATTTTCTTTTAAAAAGATGTTATTTATAAAAATTACTTACATGAACTAAATTTTAAGTACAATATGATAGAGTCAAACAAGTACTTCCCAAGGTTTGCAGACAACTGGACTTGAAAAAGGATCCCCCACTGAAAGGATGGGGAGCCCCTCCCTCCACTCCTCCCTCACACAAAAGATACAGCAGGTACCTTGGAAGGCCTTCAGGGGAAAAGCCTGTATTTGCCCACCCAGCATTTCCCACACTTTCTTGACCTCAGAACACTTGTTCAAGTAGCTTCTCACACCACGTGGAACACACTCTGGGCAATACTGACTCCTTAGTATCGTCCCCCTGAGGCAACACCCTTCTGGGACTGGGATTGAGCAATTTGATCTTGACTTTCTCTTGGGAAAGCATTTTCTCAGTAATTTGGCAAAGCAGAAATATTAATAATTATATTCTTCCTTCCTTTCCTCTCTTCTGTTTCCATATTTCTCTTGGAAATGCAAAAAAAAAAAAAAAAAAAAATGGGGAGAAGGAAGTAGCAGCTGGCGGGGCCACTGAGAATCTCCCTGCAGGCTCTTGCTGTCTGGTGCACAACAACTGGATAGCACCTGCCCTAGGGAAAGGGGACGTGGAGTGGATGGTCCCCTTTTTAGGGGCAAGAATATCTGTATGTGAAATCGTAGAAAGATGACTGGAAGCCTGCTGAGTAAAATATTAGCAGTGATTATCCCTGGCTGGTAGAATTTGAAGTGACTTCTACTTTCTCTTGTTCTTTTCTATTCGGATTATATTTGTCCATGAGTATGTACTTTTTCTTTCTTTTTTTCAGGAGAGACAGGGTTTTGCCATGTTGGCTAGGCTGGTCTTGAACCCCTGACCTCAGCTGATCTGCCCGCCTCGGTCTCCCAAAGTGCTGGAATTATAGGCATGAGCCACCATGCCCAAGTATGTACTTTTTCATAAAATGATTTTTTAAAACAATAAAGAAATGTACTATGTATCTAATTCTAAGCCTTCAAACAGGCAAGAAAAAGTCTTCATTCACAGCTGGCTCTCAACCCCACCCAGTGATGTTTCTTCTGGTCATTAAGACTGATTCATCTGTTAAAATGTTCTCTTTTGTATTCCACTTTGGTTAATACTTAGGAGCTTGCAGTGCTCTATAGAAAAATAAGGCTAGGCAAGGTGGCTCATGTCTGTAATCCCAGCACTTTGAGAGACAGGAGGATCACTTGAGCCCAGGAGTTCAAGACCAAGGTGGACCCATCTCTAAAACAAAACAAAGCAAAAAAAAAAAAAAAAAAGAAAGGAAAAAGAAGAATGCAGTATAAAATAAGTGTTAGAACATATGGAGAAGATAGTAATACAAAGCTGACAAAAAAAAAAAAAAAAACCATCCTAGGTCCTTTTAAAAAGCCACCACCTGGGCCGGGCGCGGTGGCTCAAGCCTGTAATCCCAGCACTTTGGGAGGCCGAGGCGGGTGGATCACGAGGTCAAGAGATCAAGACCATCCTGGTCAACACGGTGAAACCCCTACTAAAAATACAAAAAATTAGCTGGGCATGGTGGCGCATGCCTGTAATCCCAGCTACTCAGGAGGCTGAGGCAGGAGAATTGCCTGAACCCAGGAGGCGGAGGTTGCGGTGAGCCGAGATTGCGGCCATTGCACTCCAGCCTGGGTAACAAGAGTGAAACTCCGTCTCAAAAAAAAAAAAATAAAAAAAAAATAAAAAAAATAAAAAAATAAAAAGCCACCACCTGCCTAAAATAGTGGAATTATGAATATATTAAATTGATCTGCCATCTAAATGCATAATTAAAAGAAATATGGCCTTTTCTATAAAGCTTCAGATTATTGTAAAGTACATTCCACCAACAAAAGGCTTTTAATGTTATAGTTAAATCAAAAAGGTTTCATAAAAATTTTTTAGTTTATAAACCCTAAACCTAACCCCAGCCCTAACCCTAACCCTAAGTTATATGAGCATGTTCATAGCAAATCATAGCAGGAAAAGACATGATATAAAATACACGAAAATACATAAAATACATGATACATGTAACTGCAAGGAAATGGCATCCAGTATATATAAAGAATTCTTACAAATCAATAAGAAAAAGAGAAAAAATAGGCAAAGGCTTGAATGGGCATTTCAAAAGAAGAAATTCATATGAGTAATAAACATGTGAAAGTGCTCAGTCTTATTAGTAATCAGAGACATGCAAATAAAGTCATGAGAAATCACTGCCGAGCTTAGCAAAAATTTTTAAAGTCTGGCAATATCAAGTGCTGGTGAGCACCTGCCCCTTGGGAGGGACGCTGGAGCAGCTGTCCTAGGCCCCATTCTGTGTTCTTTGCTGAGCATCACTGAAATTCAATTGCAGAGCTTCTGTGACAGTATGCAAGGGGCCCATGAAGGATGCTGAGTACACACTTCCTTCTGGGTAACCACCCACCGGCTGTGCTGCCTTGGGGCCCATATCTCTCTAAATACAGCTCTCCTAGTCAGAAAAGGGGACATGGGGACTGGCATACATTGCTAGTGAGAATCTAAGCTGGGACTGGCACTTTGGAAAACAAGTTGGCCGCACTTAGAAGAGCTGAAGATTCACACACCTTACGATCCAGCAAATCCACTCCCACTCACCCTACAGAAACTCATGCACGCTTGGACCAGCACAAAAATGTGCAGCACATTAGTCATAGCAGCCCAAACTGTGAACAATTCTGATACAGTTGGATGTTTGTCCCCTCCAAATCTCATGTTGAGATTTGATCCCCAGTTTCGGCGGTAGGGCTTAGAGGGTGGTATCTGGGTCATGGGAATGAATCCCTCATGAATGGCTTGGGGCTATCCCCATGGTAATGAGTGAATTCTCGCTCTATTAGTCCAGGAGAGAGCTGGTTGTCTAAGAGCAGAGCACCTCCTCCTGTGGTTCTCTTGCTCTCACTGTGTGACATGCTCGCACCCCTTTGCCTTCCTTTATGAGGGGAAGCTTCCTGAGGCCTCGCCAGAAGCAGGGGCAGGTGCCATGTTCCTTCTACAATCTGCAGAACCATGAATCAAATAAACCTTTTCTTTATAAGTTACCCAGTCTCAGGTATTCCTTAGCAAAGCAAAATGGACTAACGTGGACTCCAATTTTTATCAGTAAACAGTGAAATAAATGGATAAACAATCGCATAGCTTGAAAACACATGTAGCACAGCACGATATGGCATGAAGATGAATAAACCGTACCCACATCCAAAAGCACAGATGCATCTCAGCAATAAGACCTGGGATGAAGATGAATGAACCATAGCCACACCCAAAAGCACAGATGCATCTCACCAACAAGACCTGGGATGAAGATGAATGAATCATAGCCACACCCAAAAGCATGGATGCCTCTCACCAACACTGTAAGGCATAAAGATGAATGAACTGTAGCCACACCCAAAAGCATGAATACATCTCACCATGTTGAGTAAAAGAGGCAAGATATAAAAGAGCACATTTGGTATGATTCATTCATACGAAGTTCAAAAACAGGTAAAACTGAGCCATGTTTTGAGGGGGATGCATATGAAAGTGGGAAAATTACGAAGAAAAGTCAGGAAAACATCAGGAAGGTTGGAATAGCTGTTGTCTCTGGGGGACAGGTAGGGTGTGGGTGGGAGGGGATGGGCGGAGGGTGGGGGGTTCTGGGGCTAGCAAGTTTCCTCTGAGGTCGGCACACCAGTTTTTGCTTTGTAATTATTTGTGAAATTAGATATTTGTGTTTGCATTTTCTGTCTGCTTGTTACATTACATAGCAATAAAAGTTAAAAGAAACAAAACCATTTCCCTTTTGCCATCATAAAAACAATGGAGCTCACAGAGACTCTTACACAATAGAAAAAGATGAGTAAAGGATGAAGGAAAAAAAACATTTTGCAAGGTTAGGGGGGAAAGTTATCAGGAAATATTGCAGTTGCAGATATTTTAAATACTGATAAGGAGTTTGAGATGAGTGGTGGATAAAACAGCTGTGTAAAACATGGCTGAAGAACGGCAGCGGCTCCCAGATGATCTCTTAGGGGCTCTGACATTGAAACAATAGGGTGGTTTTCTTTTTTCTTTTTTTTTTTTTTTTGAGACGGAGTTTTGCTCTTGTTTACCCAGGCTGGAGTGCCATGGCGCGATCTCGGCTCACCGCAACCTCCGCCTCCTGGGTTCAGGCAATTCTCCTGCCTCAGTCTCCTGAGTAGCTGGGATTTACAGGCACACGCCACCATGCCCAGCTGAATTTTTGTATTTTTTTTTAGTAGAGACGGGGTTTCACCATGTTGACCAGGATGGTCTCGATCTCTTGACCTCGTGATCCACCCGCCTCGGCCTCCCAAAGTGCTGGGATTACAGGCATGAGCCACCGCGCCCGGCAATAGGGTGGTTTTCATCCCTGCAATAAAGGCACAATTTTTATTCAGTGCTCAGGATCAAATCATGTGTTTCTAAGATACTCTCCAGTAGTTTGAAAGTTCAAATTAACCTGGTCATGGAGATTTGGGTTGTCAATACAGATGAAATGTGATGTTAAAAAAAATCTTTTTGAGCTAGTAAAGCGTGTCTTGTGGAGTGCCACTTTGCCACAGTTAAAGAAAGCTTATGTGGCACCTTGAGAGACCTCCAATGCCAGCTGTGACTGGATTGCTAAAAAGCGCTCAAGTATGGCTCACGAGGTCAGGAGTTCAAGACCAGCCTGACCAACAGGATGAAACCCCATCTTTACTAAAAATACAAAAAATTAGCCAGGCATGATGGCAGATGCCTATAATCCCAGCTAATTAGGAGGCTGAGGCCGGAGAATCTCTTGAACCTGGGAGGCGGAGGTTGCAGACAGCCAAGATCACACTCCTGCACTCCAGCCTGGGTGACAGAGCGAGACTCTGTCAAAAAAAAAAAAAAAAAAAAAGAACACAAAACCTAAAAGTACAAAAATTAGCCGGGCGTAGTGGTGTGTGCTTGTAATCCCAGCTTCTTGGGAGGCTGAGACAGGAGACTTGTTTGAACCCAGCAGGCAGAGGTTGCAGTGAGCCATGATCACAGCACTACACTCCAGCCTACACAACAGAGCAAGACTCCATCTCAAAAAAATAAAAAAAAAGGGCCCAAGTACCACAAAATGGAGAGTGGTTTTTAAAAAATGCTTGCATCTGATTTTGTGATTAATCTCGAGGCAGTTGGCTCAAATGATAATTTATCAAGCAAAATTCAATTTAAAATAAGTTTCCTTCCTTCCTCAGAGTCTCTTCAGAGACCAGGCAGTCAGAGGAAACATCATCTGTAGCCTTGCTGCCCGGTCGGTTCCCTGGGAATAGGACAATCCACAGAGGAAGCATGTCACCCAAGTCAGATGTCACAAGGATCACACAAACAAGAGGAAACAGCTTGAAGCAGAGACACCTCTTTCTTTTATCCCCCACCAGCCCCTTCCCACAAAGAACAGGTCACTTCCTAGTATTTGTTCACTGCATTTCAGACCAAAAAAATGCAGACCATAAAATGTGATGGGCTGTCCATGAACAATTCCTTATGTTTAACAAAAATATTAACTTACTTGGTTAAGAGTGATATAATTTTAATTGTATTTTTTCTATCAGTGAGAACGGCTAGCCTGCTTATCCTTTGAGAAACAACAACTAAATTCTGGCAGCTCAAAATTGGGAGAGGGGGTATCCTTCAACCTATTTGTAACATAAAATCATCAATCACACCTCTTTTGATTATACTCCCAGTATTCCTCTGGTGTGTGTATTCAACATATTTAAATTGCACTTATCTGCACAATTTCTTTCAATTGTTCTGCAATCCCTCCAAGTTAGGTTTCATTAAACCCCACTTTACATAATGTTCTACCCCCTCTGTCATTTAAAAAGTTATTAGCAAATCAAGTAAAAAACACAATTTTAAAAGTGGGAAGGCTGGGCACGGTGGCTCGTGCCTGTAATCCCAGCACTTTGGGAGGCCAACGCAGGCAGATCACAAGGTCAGGAGTTCGAGACCAGCCTGGCCAATATGGTGAAACCCTGTCTCTACCAAAAAAAAGTGAGAAAATGACTTGAACATACATTTCTCCAAAGAAGATGTAGAAATGACCAGGAAGAACATGAAAAGATGCTCCATCACTGATACAGGAAACAATACAGGAGTTCCTCAAAATTTTTAAAATAGAAGAATTACAGGATTCAGCCATTCCACTTCTGGGTTTATACTCAAAGGAATGGAAAATAAGATCTCACAGAGGTATCTGTCCACCCATGTTCACAGTGGCATTACTCACAGTAGCCAAAGGGTAGAAACAACCTAATTGTCCATCAACAGATAAATACACCAAATGTGATACATGCATACACAGGAACATTATTCAGCCTTAAAAAGCAAAGAAATTCTGACACATGCCACAACATAGATGAACCTTGGAGACATCATGCTAAGTGAAATAAGCCAGACACAAAAAGACAAATGCTGTATGATTCCAATTATTTGAGGTACCTAAGGTAGTCAAGTTCATAGAGACAGAAGGTAGCATGGTGGTTGCCAGAGCCTGGAGGGAGAGGGCACCCGGGAGTTGGTGTGAAAGAGTACAGAGTCTCTCAGTCTTATCAAATGCAAAGAGAATCTGGAGACTGGTTGCATACAATGTAGACGCATTTAACACGACTGAACGGCACACCTAAATGACATTAAAACAGAAATGTTATGTCACGTGCATTTTACCACAGTGTTAAAAAGAGAATGAGCAAATCTATTCAAATGACGTATTTTCTCAAGATTTTTACCTTCTTTCAGACCGTCTAAATAAAAAGTAACCCCACTCTCCTCTCTTCTAAACCTGCTTCTCCCAGGCACCACCTGGATAGATGTTAAGTGAAAGTTCTCTCAAATCAAGTTGTGCGCAGGAAAGGACGAGAAATAGACAGGGGATTTGGTGCATCTGGAATCAGAAGCAGAGGTTTTCCCAGTCCCAGAAAGGACCCATGTGCTTGAGCTCGAGGTGTACAATTTTAGTGCAGACTTGCAGCTTAGGACAGAACAAGGGATGTAAGAAGGTCTGCCGAGGTGTGTGCCCCAGGCTACCTGGGCCCTGGCTTCCTGCCCCAACCTCTTCAGGCACCCCTGGAGGACGCACCGACACCACAGCTGACAGCAGCACTTTTGATGCCAGGCATCTAGGTTGGCAACAACTGCTTACAGCTAGTGCTCGACTTACGACCACGATTGGTTCCGACAGACCGGTTGTAACACGATTTGGTCGTAAGTTGAGTAGGCTATATGTACAGTACTGTGAAATGATGTTATAAAAATCTTTAAGTCATATGTTATCATAATTTTCTTTCATTATTGTTATATATCATAATTTTCTTTGTTCATTTTATGCCATTTGTATCATCTCTACACCATTTTGTTTCTTATTTTTACATTCGTCAGGTTTAAGTAAAACACTGCATTACCAGTACAACTGGTTTAATATTTGCAAAACATACAAAATTACAAAATACAGGTGCATACAAAAATACAAAATACAGGTGTAAAAAATACCATAGGAAACATTTTCCCAATTGCAAAACATATCAAAATATATCAACATGTACGAAACATTTTATTGGCCGCTGGTGCTTGGCTGCGGATCGTTGATGTCGTCATCTGAGGCAGCAGTTGGGGTTACCGGAGTTGGTTTTTTCATAAACATGGTGAGCTTTGTCTGAATTCTATGTTTCTTTTTTTCTTCATAAATTTCATGATACAGATGAAACACATCGTGTGCCATCCGTTAAATCCTTGCAAATCGTTCGATGTTTGGGTCCATTGCTTCAAAATATAAGAAGTTTATTCAGTAAAGATAAACCGTCTGAGAATCCCTTAATGGTGAACTTTCTGGCTCCTCCTCTTCTTTCTCTGCTTCTCTTCTTTCTTCTTCCGCCACTCTTTCTTCTTCCAGTTCGATCAGCTCTTCATTTTGTAAGTTCCCCGGATTCTTTGTCTAGCAACTCTTCGACATCTTCCATTTCACACTCCAAAGAAAGGTCTTTAGCGAGTTTTACTATTTTTTCCCAAATCGTTTCAAGTTCATGTTAACTGTCAAATCCGTCAAAATCATTAAAAGAGCGCTTAACACAATTTTTCCAGATGCCATTCATGCACTTTGCCGTCACAGCCTCCCAGGCGGTAGCGATATTCTTAATACACATCAAAATGTTGTAGTGTTTCCAAAAGTCTTGCAATGTTAGTTCTGAGTCAGCATCTATAGCGGATATTGCTTGAGCGAAGGTGGTTCGGAGATAGTTGGCCTTTCATGTAGCAATCGAACCTTGGTCCGTAGGCTGGATGAGTGGAGTCGTGTTTGGCGGAAGAAAAACAAATTTTACATCTGGATGGAGATCGCCTAGATGTGGTAGGTGTCCAGGTGCATTATTGAGTAGCAATAAAATCTTGAAAGGAATATCTTTCTCCAAACAATATTCTTGAACTTGGGGAATAAATCAGTTCATAAACCAGTCTTCAAACAATCCTTGTGTCATCCATGCTTTACGTTGAGAACGAAAGTAGATGGGCAGTGTGTGCTTGTTAACATTCTTGAACGCATGCGGGTTGTCTGAGTGGTAAATTAAGAATGGCTTCAGCTTAAACCCTGCGATGTTCCCGCCAAGCAGCAGAGTTAGCCTATCCTTAAATGCTTTAAATCCCGGCATGCTTTTGGCCTCTTTGTGAATATCAGTGCATGCTGGCATCCGTTTCCAAAATAATCCAGTTTCATCAACATGGAAAATCTGTTCTGCTAGATATCCCTCATCTGTAATTAATTCATCCAGACTATCAACAAACTTACGTGCTCCTTCCTCATCCGCACTCGCTGCTTCTCCAGTCACTCGAACGCTATGCATTTGGAATCTTTTCTTGAATCTCTAGAACCAGCCAGTGCTTGCTACAAATTCTTGACTGTAATCTTCTCCAGCATGCTCCTTCAGAGTCTGAAATAGACTTCTCGCCTTCATCTGCACAGTAAAAAGACTTAATGGTGTCCGTTTTTGAATTTGATCTTCCATCCAAATATATAGCAATTTCTCCATTTCGTGGATGGGTCCGCTTCGTTGCTTTGTTACAACTGTTGATCGCATGGGTGCAGAACGTTTCATAGCTTCACGAATTCTTTCTTTATCTTTCAAAATCATCGACACAATCACTTGCGATCACATTCACTTTCTTTCCTCCTTCGTACTGCTTAATTACCTTCATTTTTGTGTCGAGATCGATGGCCTTTCTTTCCTTCTTGGCAGGCTGAGGCGTAGACAAAGACAATTTCCTCTTGGTAGACATCTTGGGAGGGGTTTGATGAAAAATATCCAAGACACAAAACACAAATTGCTGTACCGAGTCTGGGATAACAGTTGAAATGGTGCACGCGGAGATGGTAGTGCTGCCGGAAGCTGGTCTGCACTGTCGTACGCCAGCTGGGCAACATTTGCGCTGCCAGACGCGGAGCAGTCGTGGCTAGTGATTGGGGTCATAAAGTCGAATGATCGTAAGTTGCATAGGTGGTAAGTCGATCAATACCTGTACAGCCTAGGGGCTTAGACAATCTTCACAAAACTCAGCAAGGCATGTCTGCACTTACAGGTGATCAACACAATAACAACAACGTCTATGTATGTGTGTATATATATAAAAGATCAAGAAAATTAGGAAAATATTAACAACTGGTGAATCTACATGAAGGGTATATAATATTCATTACACTATTCCTGCCTCATTCTGTAGATTTGGAAAAATATATACATATATAAATATCTTAGGAGGAAAAAAGAAGGCAAGCCTTTTTTTTTTTAATGAACAGATAACAGTTTTGTGGTTCTTCAAAAAATTTCATATAGACTTACCATATGCCCCAGCAATTGCACTCCTAGGTTTATACGCAAGAGAAATTAAAATGTGTCCACATGATAATTTGTATGTGAACATTCATACAGTATTATTCATAACAGTCAAAAGGTAGAAACAGCGGAAATGTCCACCAATGGATAAGTAGATAAACAAACTGTGGTATAGTCATGCAATGGAATATTACTCAGCCATAAAAAGAAAAAAATCCTAATACATTCTACAACACGGATGAACCTTGAAAACATTATGCTAGGTGAAATAAGCCAGATGCAAAAGGACAAATAAATTATTCTGCTTATATGAGGTACCTAGAGTGGTTAAATTCGAAGGCAGAAAGAATGGTGGTTGCCAGGGGCTGAGCAGTTGGGGGAATGGAGAGGTATTGTTTATTGGGTACGTTGTTTCCTTTTGGGATAATGGAAACATTTTGAAAGTAGATGAAGTGGTGGCTGCCCAACATTGTGAATGTACTAACTAAATGTCACAGAATTGTTCATTTTAAATGATTAATTTATGTCATGTGAATTTCATGTTAATAAAAAAAGAGCACATAGAAAAAGGAGGAATATGTTCTGACTTAGACAACAGAGTGTGCATGGGAAGAGACAACATTCAGAGTGAGCACTCACACCCGTGAATCTGCGGAGTGGAACAGAAACGGAGGATCTGATACACACTGCCAACCGGTTCTGACAGATGCCGACCCAAACGGAGAATGTGAAGTCACGTAATTACAGTTTACTGGAATTCTGCAAATATGTGCAGAAAGACTAACAGTGCAGTAAGAATTAATGATAGGCTGGCTCAGGATGTATTATGTTTAAAGACACTTCTTTCTGCTCAAGAAGGGCCAACAGGAGAAAGTGAGCAAGGCTGTGATCCCAGGGGCCAAGACTAGAGGGAAAACCTGGATGCAGAGGTGACAAGCCCACGTGGCCCCAGCTTCTGCTCCACTGGGGCTGGAGAGTGTTTAAAAGCCGTCTGTCCCTTCCATTTGGAAATCACATTTGCTTTCACTCAACAAAGCTGACACAGAAAATGTGACCCAGTCAGATGTGTGTGACCTAACATGTTACCCTTTCCAGAAATAACTGCACAGTCCGTTTGAGCCATTAAAAGAATATTATACTTTAACATTTTTGCTCTCAAAAATTCTTATCACCAAAGAAATTCACATTTACTATGAAAACTTATTTATTTATTTATTTTGAGGCAGGGTCTCACTGTGTCACCCAGGCTGGAGTGCAAGGGTGCCATCTCGGCCCACTGCAGCCTTGACCTCCTTGGCTCAAGTGACCCTCCCACCTCAGCCTCCCAAGTAGCTGGAACTACAGGCACACACCACGGCACCCAGCTAATTTTTTTTTATTTGTAGAGACAGTGTCTCCCTGTGTTGCTCAGGCTGTTCTCAGCCTCCTAGGATCAAGCAATCCTCTGGCCTCCGCCTCCCATAGTGCTGAGATTACAGGCATGAGCCGCTGTGCTCAGCTCACCATAAAAACTTTTTAAAAAGTGGGTAGACAAAAAGAATCCCCTGGAAAAAGGCCACTGCTATAATCTTGCTGCACTTCTTCCCAGCCTGAGAAGGCAATACTTAACGTTAAGAAATGACTTATTCATGATGTGACTCAGAGAACCTTAGAAACTTTCTCGCTGACCCTCAAATTGTAATTGAGGCTTTCTATTAAGCCAATGGGTCCCAGCCCTAAGAATACCTTTCCCTGAGATGGAAGTAAATTTCTTGCACTTGAAATGTGCATCCAGAGAATCTGGTGATGAGGGAATCACAAAGAAATGGGCAGAATGATCAAGATAAATATCCATTACTTCCCTTCTTACAAACACTAAGAGAATTATTAAGTCACAAGAAAGAGCCAGAGCTGCAGTGAATAGATTTTGCAGGCCATTTCTCAGCCCCAGATGGACAGAGGAAAACAAAAGGAAATGGTGCTTCTGACATAATTTAGTGTCTGGCTCAGAAGCTGATAGAAATTGGCTTCAGCCTTTGCTTCTCCTGTCACCACCTCTGGAAGGACAGAGGCCCCCACACCATACACTTACCCATCCAGACTTCCCCAAACTGCCCAGCACCGAGCCGTTTCACCAACTTGATGGACTCCCTGGGGATCTCCCAGGCATCTTTATCCCACGGCTTCTGTGGCTTGGGACTGATACAAGCCTTCTCTAGTCTTCTGCACAAGCCATCTGACTGCTCTATTTTGAAAGGGAAAATTAAGGTTAAGAAACGCAATACTTTGTACTTTACCTGTGTCTATAAAAAAGGGTTTGAACTAGTAGCCTTAGAGTGTCCAACCTGCCACAGTCTATGAACAAAATGCTTATGAGAAGCATCCTTCCCATAACTGTGATTTTTGAAATTTGTATAAGGAAACCATTTAAAACATACTTGGATTTTATTCATCAGCACTGCTAACATACATCAACAAAAACAACAGAGCCAACAGACAACCACAGGCTGATAGGTTGTCATACTTCATAGAATGTGATTTCAGATTACTATGCCCACATAAGCTTCACAGGGCACCATAGTGGGGACTCAGTCATGTCACCACTGGACCCCAGGCCCCAGAACAGAGCCAGAGCACCACAAGCCCTCAGCACGTGCCGGGCGCACACACGAATGGGAACACGGAGGGAGGGGGGACTCTACAAAATAGGAAGCACGTTGCTGTCTCCATGTTTTGTGACTCAGGCAAACCTATAATGTGCATTTCCTTCAAGCAGGTCATAGAAAGGAGCCAGGGCAACAACTGCTCCACTGACTCCAATCACACAGGAAAGAACCTGGAGTCTCAGGCCCAGGCTTTGCAGGGCTGCAATGTGGCACTGGAGACAGGGACATTGACCTGCCACTTCTGAATATATCAGAGGTAGTGTTATTTCTGTTTGACTTTACCAAGAATATATATTACTTTTACACACACACACACACACGTGCGCGCACACACACACACACACACACACACACAGATCCGCAAATCTCCATTCCTATTCCAGAAATTCAGATGCATTGTAAAAATATATAACATATATTTTTACAAATATATAATATATATTATAAATATATAATGTATAATATATAAAAATAGATATTTTTCTCTTGGTAACTGGAACACTGAACGTCAAACAGCATGGACTAGGTGGGAAGGACTGGGAGAATGATTCACAAGAATCAAATCTTACTGTGTATATTTATAGATTCATTAACTTACTTTATCTTCTTCTTCTTAGTATTATTATTTTGAGACAGAGTCTTGCTCTGTCACCCAGGCTGGAGTGCAGTGGCATGATCTCAGCTCACTGTAATCTCCACCTCCCATGTTCAAGTGATTCTCTGGCCTCAGCCTTCCAAGTAGCTGGGGCTACAGGTGTGCATCACTATGCCTGGCTAATTTTTTTGTTTTAGTAGAGACAGAATATCACCATATTGGCCAGTCTGATCTCAAACTCCTGACCTCAAGTGATCTGTCTGCCCTGGTCTCCCAACGTGCTGGGATTACAGTGAGCCACTGCGCCTGGCCTAACTATAGATTAATTTAGAATCACTTATAGCATATGACCTGCCAACTGTATCCAAGAGAAATGTGATGTATACAAAGCTTTAATATAAATATAGTGTTTGACATCTTATCCACGTCATAACAAATACATTTTGTCTTGTTGAACCTTCGGTTGTTACTTACTTTGGTAATGTTTAATCATGTCGCTGATACAGGGAAAAGTGATTCGTGGAGAGATGTAATAGCCCCCATTGTCCAAGCTTCTAATTTTGTAGTGCTTAATAACATCACCATGCACGGGGTCAAAGTCTCTGACAGACAGAGAGAAGCTTCCTACGGGGGAAAAGTGTAAGTAAATGTTTGTATCTCGCAAATAAGATTTGCATCATACAATCACTGCAGTACACACCTTGTGATAAAAATATGCAAAATATATACATGAAGTGTGTATAAAATGCAAAAATTTTTAAGCCCTATACAAATTCTACTTGACAAACGAAGCTGCCATTTTGTTTGCTGTGTAGCTGGCCAATATACCATTTTCTTTCTTTATGATAATTTTTTAAAGTTACTATTTAGCTAACTTTAAAAATTTTAAGGTTACTTTGATTTTCTTTCTTTCTTTCTTTCTTTCTTCCTTTCTTTTTTTTTGAAACAGGTTCTTGCTGTCACCCAGGCTGGAGTGCAGTGGCATGATCAAAGCTCCCTGCAGCCTCGACCTCCTGGGCTCAAGTGAACTTTCTACCCCAACCTCTCAAGTAGCTGGGACTATAGTCACACATCACCACACCCAGCTCATTTTTAAATTTCTTGTACAGACAGGGTCTTGCTGTGTTGTCCAGGCTGGTATCAAACTGCTGGGTTCAAGTGATTCTCCTGTCTCGGCCTCCCAAAGCATTGGGATTACAGGCCTGAGCCACCATGCCCAGCCTTCCTTCCTTCCTTCCCTCCTTCCTTCCTTCCTTCCTTCCTTCCCTCCTTTCTTCCTTCCTTCCTTCCTTCCCTCCTTCTTTCCTTCCTTCCTTCCTTCTTTCCTTCCTTCCTTCCCTCCCTCCTTTTTGAGACAGTGCCTCACTATGTCACCCAAGCTAACTAGGAGTGCAGTGGCATGATCACAGCTCACTGCAGCCTCCCCTCCTTCCTTGGGTTCAGGTGGTCTTCCTACCTCAGCCTCTGGAGTAGCTGGGACTACAGGCATGTGCTGCCAGGCCTGGCTAATTTTTGTATTTCTTGTAGAGATGGGGTCTTGTTCTGTTGCCCAGGCTGGTCTCCAACTCCTGGACTCAAGTGATCCCCTCTCCTCGGCCTCCCAAAGCGTTGGGATTACAGGTGTGAGCCACCACACTCAACTACTTCACTTTTAGTAGCATAACTAATCATTGAAGTTTGTTATTCGTTATCAAACCATAAAACTTTTACTACCACAGCATACGATATCCTTTTTTTCCCCTTGAGTAATTCTAAAATAGCTTCTAAAAATAATTTCCTAAATAGTGGTTTAGAAGAGATTTTCAACTATTTCCTACCTTTTAATGTTTCACTTTCTCTAATAAGGAAAGATCCAGCGCTATTTCCCGGTGCCAAAAGCTGCCTTTCTGCATCCTTCCTGGTTATATCCTTGAAAAACCACCTGCAAAGACATTTCAACATTTCGTACATGTTATGTTCCAGGGCAAGAAAAAGGTGAAGAAAAAGAAATCCAATGTGGCAGACCAAGCCACCCAAATGACAACACGTGAGGACTCACTCTTCTGTTTCTAAGGTGTTGACTTTGGCCACATAGTTGCTGGGGATGAATCCTTCTTTTTTTGTTAAAAGGGACTTCGCTTTCCACCATTCTCCATGCCTGGAATAGAAATACACAACAAAAAGAAGCTATAAAATTACATATTTCATGCATGCATCAAAGTATCACCGGTATCCCATAAATATGTATTTATGTGCAGATATTATGTATCCATTAAAAAATTTAAAATAAGGAAAACCTACAGTTACCCCAGGACCCAGCAGCTATGCTCCTAGACATACACCCAAGAAAGTGGAAACCATAACATCCACACAAAAACTTGTACATGAATGTTCAAAGCATCATTATTTGTCAAAGCAAACAGTAGAAACAACCAAAATGTCTATCAACTGACGAAGGGACAAAATCTGGAATATCCGCCCAGTGGAATATTACTCAGCAGTGAAAGGAATGAAGTGCTGAGAGACGCTACAACAGGGAGGAACTTTGAAAACATGGTGCTGAATAAAAGAAGGCAGCCACAAAGGACCACATACTGTGTGATTCCATTTATGCAAAAAATCCAGAATAGGTCAATGTTTAGAGATAAAAAGTAGTTTCGTAGTTTCCTGGGGCTGGAGAGAACGGGTGAGTTGAGGTGATAGCTAAGAGGTGCAGGGTTTCCTTTTAGGATATTTTAAATGTTCTAAAATGGATTGTAGTGATAGTTGTGCAATTCTGTGACTATGCTGAAAATCACTGAATTGTACACTTTAAGTGGGTGAATTGCATGGTATTGTGAATTCTCAATAAAGCTATTGAAAAGAAAGAGAGAGAAGGAAAAGCTGGGAGGGAGGGTTTTGAATGTTCACAACACAAAGAAATAATAAATGTTCAAGGTGATGGATACGCTAATTACGCTGATTTGATCTTTACACACTGCATGCATGTATCAATTATCACTCTGTATCCCATGACTGCATACCATGGCAACTAAAAATAAAAGGCGAAAACTGTTTATATCCAAGACTCAACAGCTACAACAGCAATTGTCTCAAGGTGTTTGTTTAGGGGGGTGAAGGTGGGTGGAGAACATCCCTGGAACCTCAGAATCCAGTGGGAAAATTCACCCTTCGTGATGAAATTAAAATATGTTTAGAGACAGAAGCAAAGGAAAACAGCCTTACAACTAAAGTGTAGGTCACTATGCTCAGGGGTGTACAAACAAGAGTTGGTAAAAATGACTGCCATCTCACAGAAGCAAAAGATTTGTAACTTGCCCCTGGATAGCTAAGAAATGCTTTCCAAAATCTGTATATGAGTCAAGGGAATACTAGTCCATCGTTCATGTATTATAAACTCCTATTTACCATACATCTAGTTACCATAGAGATGGACACCATGAAAAAGAGAAAACCATAAGACAATTCCAAGCAAGTGAGCCTCATCACCATGCTCGAGTCCTCAGCAGAAAGGCAGGCACAGAGCCAGGGAGGAGGTAGGGGCTAGCACTGGAAGAACCAAGCAGGTGAGCCCGTGATGGGGGAAGGAATGGGTTCCTTTGAGCCTTAACTGTGTTCCTCTATAAATTCCACATGCAGACAGGATCCTTGTCTGTCAGGCCTGAAGACAACTAGAATTAATACTAAGCTTTGCCTCCTCTACGCTTATGTTATGTTTATACACATGCATCATGCTCACATCAACCCCGTGATCTAGGTACTGTCATTCCCATTTTACACGTAAAGAAACCAAGTACAAAGTTTAAGGGTCTTGTCAAGTCACATATCCATCAAGTGGCAGGGTCGGATCATACTTAAGCTCATGTTCAACCCATAAGCAACATTGCTCTCAACCACAGAACACCTTGTCCTTCATAAGGGGGTCTCCCCCTCAAACTCTATTTGGAGGGTTACAATGACACCGAATGCAAGATTAGTAGGAAAAGCAAGCTAGAATTAAAGCATCTGGAGTTTCTCATTCTGAGCACTATCCTGTGTGCCTGTGGTCTGACACTGCTACATGTCTGAGTCAGCAAGAGGGGGTCGAGGAGATGACGACACCCAGCCTTCCTCACAAAAGCACAGCACCTGCTGAGTTGAGGATTTTCCAGCATGACTGCTGTAGCTCAGCACCCTTAGAACTCAGACTAGGCTGGGCCCACGAACCCAGTCTAAACGTGAGTAATAAAACAAAAGAAAAATGGCATTTCAAATATCATGCATGGGCCACACAGACCCAAATTCCTTAAGGTGGCAAGATTGGATAAAGAAAGAAACCCGGCTGAGTATGGTAGCTCACACCTGCCATCTCAGCACTTGGAGAGGCCGAGGTGGGAGAATTGCTTGACAGCAGGAGCTCAAGACCAGTCTGGGCAACATAACAAGATCTCATCTCTACAAAAATTTTAAAAATTAGCCAGGCATGGTGGCACATGCCTGTAGTCCTAGCTTCTCAGGAGGCTGAGGTGGCAGGATTGCCTAAGCCTAGGAGTTCGAGGCTGCAGTGAGCTATGATCATGCCACTGCACTCTAGCCTGGATGACAGAGAGCGATCTTATCTCAAAAAAAAAAAAAATTTTTTTTTTAAAAGAAAAACCAGCATCTGTCTCCAAAGGGAAACCCCCTGCAGAGTGCTCACAGCTGGACTTGGAAGGAAAATCCCTTTGGCCCTACTCCTTCCACTGCCCACTCCCCGTGGGTAGCAAGGAGGCCTCATGCCCATTGTAGAAAGGGGGCCAGGCTACGGCTGTGGCATCAGAAGCAAGACAAGGGGACAGCCTGCAGGCCTCAGTGACCCAAGGAAAGAAGCAACTGTGGTGTGTTTGAGAGCACTTACTCCTCCAGGACTTTCATCTTCTCTCCTTTCTTGAAAGACAAGTCATCTGGGTGGATGCCATCATAGGGGTACAAGGCTACCACAATGTCTCCTTGCTCCTCCGGATCTAAGGATGAACACAAGACAACACCTGTAAGAATCCATCAGCAGAAGTGTTTTAACAAACTTCATGAGGCACAAAGGATGAGAGGAAGCACTAAGAGAGGGGAGACTGAAAGAAGGACATGTGCTTCCTACCTAGCGGGCCCAGGTCTGCACAGCCTGCAGAGAGTAACTTGCTGTATACACTGTGTCTAGTATTTGTTATTGCAAATCACTGAAACCTACAACTATAAATACGACTCTATATTTAAGAAATAGATTCTGATTCCAGATACACCGAATCCTCTGTCTATTTTAAGAAATGAAGGCCGGGCGCGGTGGCTCACGCCTGTAATCCCAGCACTTTGGGAGGCCGAGGCGGGTGGATCACGAGGTCAAGAGATCGAGACCATCCTGATCAACACGGTGAAACCCCGTCTCTACTAAAAATACAAAATATTAGCTGGGCATGGTGGCGCATGCCTGTAGTCCCGGCTACTCGGGAGGCTGAGGCAGGAGAATTGCCTGAACCCAGGAGGCGGAGGTTGCGGTGAGCCGAGATCGCGCCATTGCACTCCAGCCTGGGTAACAAGAGCGAAACTCCGTCTCAAAAAAAAAAAAAAAAAAAAAAGAAATGATACACCCATGTTCACAGCAGGATTATTCAAAGATGTGGAAATAACGCAAACATCCATTGATTGAGGAATGGATAAACATCACGGGGCATATAGACAGATATAGATATAGATATAGATTTTTTTTTAGATGGAGTCTCACTCTAGTTGCTCAGGTTGGAGTGCAATGGAGCAATCTCGGCTCACTGCAACCTCCGCCTCGTGGTGGTTCAAGCAATTCTCCTGGCTCAGCCTTCTGAGTAGCTGGGATTACAGGCGTGTACCACCATACCCAGCTAATTTTTTGTATTTTTAGTAGAGATGGGGTTTCACCATGTTGGACAGGCTGGTCTTGAACTCCTGACCTCAGGTGATCCACCTGCCGTGGCCTCCCAAAGTGCTGGGATTACAGACATGAGCCACTCTGCTTGGCCAGGACACATACTTACAAGGGAATATTATTCGCCCTTAGAAGGAAAGAAATTCTAACACTTTCTACAGCACGGATGAACCTTGAGGACATCACCCTAAATGAAATAACCCAAACATGAAAGGACAATTACTGTATGATTCCAATTCTAGGAGGTACCTAGAGCAGTGAAATTCATAGAGACAGAAAGAACAGAGGTTGCCAGCAGTGGGGGAAGGAGGCAGGAGGACTTATCATCTAATGGGTATGGAGTTTCCGTTTCAGAAGATGCGTTCTGGAGATGGAGGGCGGTGGCAGTTCCACAACAATGAGAATGTACCTAATGCCACTGAAATGTAGACTTTAAAAATAGTGAAGAGGGTAAATTTTTATGTTATCTATGTCCCAGAATAAAAAAAAAAAAATTCAAGACAACCACTTTGTAGAAGCTCTAATAGTAAAGAAAAAAAATTTTAACTAGTTGCTGTGAAGACATACCTTTAGTTTGAAACCTCTGTCCAGGCAAAAGCTGAGATTCTGAAACCTACAAGAGAGTATTTGTTAGGGAAAAAAATTCTGTTTAGCTTTTCTTGCTGACATTCATGTTGTATACATGATTTTTGTTATAGAAGCAGATGCTGGTAGGATGGGCTCATTCATGAAGTTGGAAAGAACAGGAGCACAGAGGAAAAACCTGTAGAGCTGTGTCCAGCCCTGCCCGGCCAGTGACAGGGCTCTTTTATCACTTGCTGTGGGTGGCAGGAAGGGAGTGAGGTTCCGGGCGGGGGCTGCTCGGTGCTCACCTCATCCTAACTCCCCCATTCTTTGGTGACAGAACCCTAACATTGTTTGGGGTGGCAGTTTGCCCAGCTCAGTGAGTGTGCTTGCAAACTCTCTAGCCCCGGGTAGACGGCAGAAAGAGTTTCAGTCAGCAGATCGGTTCTGCCGGCCTTTGCCATCAGCTCACCTTTTCCCTTGCCTCTTTCTCTCTCCCTGGAAACCACTTAAATCTGGAGCCCCGGAAGCCACAGAAACCAAACATCGCAGCAGCAGGATGGAGACGGAAGTAGCGGGAGCTGGTGACTTGGTGGAGTTGCCGTCCCCGCCCAGGACTGCCCATCCAAGGTTTCCCCAGCTTGAGTGAAATTGCACAGTCAGGGCTCTGTCCCTGGAGGCTGAGAGCAAGTCCCATCCCATCCGGCCTCTCCTGGGCTGACCCCATGACTCAATCACAGAGACAGATGGCATCCCCTGTTATTTCAGTGGGGAGGTGAGTTATTGGGAAGGATGTGGTGGCACAAAAGGCCACTTCAATTACTTTTGAAATCAAATTCCTTTTTCTCACAGTGCCATGTGAGGCTCTGAGGCCTCTGGGCCTCTTGTAAGATAGGGGCTGTCAGAGGCCTGTCTCACAAGCCATGTAACTTTTCTGTTTCTCTTTGATTAAAGTGGCTTCATAGAATGGGACAAAAACAGTTTGTACTGAAATTTAAATTTCTGATGAAAGCCCACAAAATCTCCAATTCAGTGAGGTAGGGAAAATTACTACACTGTGGTACCAGAAAAAACCATGGCTGTACATATCATGTTTATGTCAAGAAGTTCTATGTCGATTTTTCAGTCATTCAGATTTGCATAATTTGGATAATACGATCTATTTTATGTGATTCAGTGGAAATAACTGGAAGACTTGAGACTAATTTCATCATTTTCAAAGCAGCAAGCTGATTTTTCAAATATCAAAGAGCACTTAATTTACAAACATTTTAATATACTTTTTATAAGACCAAAACACACCTATGCAATGCATATACTATTGCTCTAGATTTTTCCTTAAAATGGCTTTTTCTGGAATGTTGTTGAATTTTGCATCAACTCAACCTCACCTTCTCGGCAGATTCCCCTTGTAATCAGTCCATGGCCTGCATTTTGGCACATCTGGCCAGGGCTAAGAGTGTTGGTTATGGCCGTGGAATAAGGCTAGACTAACTGGTTCATGAGGCGAGGGCATCTGTGACCACAGAAGGGACAAACTGAAATACTTACAGCACACAAGAGAGAACTGAAAGACTTCAAACATGTTTTCTACTTCTGCTTTCTAACTTGATTTTCAATCCCCTTTACTTTGAAGAAGAGGAAAAAATGGTGTGTGGATTTGTACTATTCTCCCTGGCTTTTCTGAATAAAGGACATCTTTCTTCATCATTTAAAAACAAAAAACTGGGGGTCGGGCGCAGTGGCTCAAGCCTGTAATCCCGGCACTTTGGGAGGCCGAGGCGGGTGGATCACGAGGTCAAGAGATCGAGACCATCCTGGTCAACATGGTGAAACCCCGTCTCTACTAAAAATACAAAAAATTAGCTGGGCATGGTGGCACGTGACTGTAATCCCAGCTACTCAGGAGGCTGAGGCAGGAGAATTGCCTGAACCCAGGAGGCGGAGGTTGCGGTGAGCCGAGATCGCGCCATTGCACTCCAGCCTGGGTAACAAGAGCGAGACTCCGTCTCTAAATAAATAAATAAATAAATAAAAATAAATAAATAATAAATAAATAAAAACAAAAGACTGGCTGGGTGTGGTGGCTTATGCCTGTAATCCCAGCAATTTGGGAGGCCAAGGCGGGTGGATCACCTGAGGACAGGAGTTTGAGACCAGCCTGTCCAACATGGTGAAACCCCATTTCTACTAAAAATACAAAAATTAGCCAGGCATGCCAGTGCATACCTATAATCCCAGCTGTTCAGGGGGCTGACGCAGGAGAATCGCTTGAACCCAGGAGGCAGAGGTTGCAGTGAGGTAAGATCGCACCACAGCACTCCAGCCTGGGCAACAAGAGCAAAACTTGTTCCATATCTGTATGTACTTACGGCATATACTTAAGTAATCTTTTTTTCACTGACTGTAATAGGTTTTTAAATTTTAAATTTATATTCATATGTATTATTGCTAAATTATTAAATCTATTATATACTTTATTAAATCTTATATACTTTAAGTACATATATTTTCTATATATAAAATTACAAAGTTAATTTATCCAGAAACATCATGTATGATAACTTAATAGCATGATATATCCACTCTTTATCTCCACTTCTTAAAAAGAGCAACGTTGATTTCCTAGTCTCAACGATGACGTGTGACTTTGATACATGGCAGATACGTCCTACCTGCAGGATAATGGGGACACGTTCAGGGGAGGGCAGGCAGAAAGGCTTGATAATGCGAATGTGTTTCTAAAACACCTGGCCATTTAAAAACATGCCGGACTAGAGAAACTATGAAAATTCTTAATAATGGCATTTGGGTTAACCTGGAATAAGCTGTTTCCAGCTTAAATGCTGCAAAATTCCACAGAAAGCAGGCTATGGGCGATATACATGTATAGAATGAGAGAATATATCCATACAAAGGATATAAGCTCTGAAATGAAGTAGATTTCAGTTTATAATTATCCAAAGCTCTGCTCTTCCTTTCCATAAAATGCAATGTTAGTTTTTCCTTTGCCAAAGCATTTCCCAAATACACCAAATAGCACATCACTCACTAAATATCTCTAGTGAAGCTATTTCTAGTGCAGCTATTTCTCTAAGGTTAGGGGACAGAATTAGAGGTGTTTTTTCTTAATATTTTAATTCACTGAAATAAGTCATGACAACTTCAGGATCTGTACTATTTTTAATTAATCGAAGAAGGGACAAGGTATGATAAAGTGTGGCACAACAAAAGACACATTAGCATCTATTTTAGTTCCTGACTTGCATTTCCTTTTGCTTCTAGACCACTGCGCTAATCTCACTGTGTATCTTGAGTCACACAAGCCTACATACATATATAGTAGGGTCTTTGCACCAGTAATATGAAAGATGGCCTTCCTCACATATAAGAATGTGATCAAAGTCCCCTTTATTGTACAATAAGTGGCCTAGTTATCCCTAAAATGTTTGCACATTCTTCAAAGGATTAAGTTACAAAGTATATCAAAAATTATTTGAGGACCAAATAATCAATGGGATTTTTTTGCATGCACATAGTACAGATTGGTGTTTAAATTATGCAGCCGTGCTTTGATCTTGCTGTGGGAATTCTCCCCTGAGACTATCTACTTACTGGCCTTTGCTGTTTATTGGACGTTGGATCTCTCACATAAATAGTTCTTTCAGTATTACGTACTGGTTGAGTCTTCAAATCTACTCCATCGTCATTCAAGCTGTCTTTCCCTTTTGATTTTATACATCCCATATTTCCTGTTGAAATATAAAAGCAATGACATTGTTTTACCATTCCAGAACTGCTTCAAGCCATCAAAATCTCTCCATTAGAGTAGAAAAAAATACAGTTTCATTCTTTATCATATATAGATTAATCAACTCAAATGTGAATACTGTTCACAAATAGGTTTGTTCATTAATTCACTCAACAAATAATTATTTAGCATCCGTTTTCCATCATCCAGACATAATTCCAGGTTTAACTATGCTCATATTCTTGTGGCAAAGATGTGTAAAGACGATGACAGAGGACTCACAGGATCTAAGAAAGGACACATAACTCAAGCAAGAAGAAAAGGAGGTGGTTAGGGAAACCTTCCTAAGGAAATGCTCTGTGAGTTGAAATGGGAGGGATGGCAGCCAGGTTGCTAAGTCAGCAAAGGGATTCCAGGAAGAAGAAACTTCATATGCAACCACCCTGGGCTCAAGATAACATGGTCCCTTCAGAGAGCTAGATCAACCTGATCTCTTCAGAGAATGAGTTCTATCTAAAACACTAAACACTGTAGTCAAGGAGCGGGTGGGGAAGGCCAGGAGTCAGGGCCAGAGAGGGAGGCACATGCTGGATGCGATGCTGAGTGGTTGATCTTTTACCCTGAAGACAAGTGACACATTCAAGCTGCAGTGTACAAGATAGGGTGGTGGGGGGTGGCGGCTGGAGGTTTCAAGGGCAGGTGAGGAAGAGCTAGAATGTGCAGAACCCGGCTCCCGCTAAACATAGCTAGGGGCCTAGGAAGATGGTGTGGCTTTCACCAAGACTGGAAGTGAAATGAGGAAACACAGTTACCGGAGAGAAAATGCTTATGGGAACATTCAGGTGATCAAATCCAGCAGGGCTACTCAGTAAGCTGGTTGCGTCAGGAAACCAGGACGGACGGTAGCGGAGGTAAAAGCAAGACGGCGGCCTCCGCAAGCCATATGGCAAGAAGGGGCTAAACCTGCACGTCCAAACACCAACTCTGTCATCCGGTGATCCCATTCATGTGGGACGGGCTGAGCGCTACACAGCCACTCGGGGACTGCAGAGGTAATTCTGAATTTGAATCAGATACAGTTCTTGTCTTACAGTGTAGCCTCGGGGTCAAATCTATGCATTAAAAACAAAACAAAATCTTTCATGAACTTCACTAGAAGGTGATTCTCACCGCACAGATTCTCTGCACACCGTCCGGGAAACTCTTTTGGGGCACAGTGGGAGCATGGTGCTCCCCATGCGAGGTGTGATTCTGAAACACTGCCGAATCTGGGACCCAGGGCTTAGCGTTAAGTCCAGAGGAAGGGCAGAGGACAGGGGTCTGGGGAAGTGGGAGAGGCACTGTGATTCGGCAATACCTCGGGGTGGGGGGGCGGATTGTGCTAAGAAACCTCAAGAGCTCTTCTGGGAATCCAGCCCTCCCGGCATCACAGCCACGCGCCCAGGCCAGCGCTGTCCCGCAGGCTCCCAGTTGGTCTAGGAACTTCGACTTGTTTATCATTTCATTACTTGAGGTATGAAGCCTCTAAAGAGCAACCACACCTCTTTCTGAAACTAGCGAGCTGCAGTTCCCAAAATAAAGGGGAAGCAAGTACTTCTGTGATTCAAAACAGCACATTTTCTTCATACGCTAAAGTCTCTGAAATGGACAAGGGTTTAGCGTTTATCTCTAACTAGCATGGGAGTTCTTTTTTCACCAGTCTCATCCCTCCCACACCCCGCCACCCTCCCCTCAAAAGTGGTGTTTAACTCATCATCCTTTAAAATAGTGCTTTATAAATGGGCCAATATGTTCACAGCGGCGCGAGGACCCTGCACGCACCGCGAGCTCCGGGACACGAACTCTGAGCGGGTCCGGCCAACTCGCCAGGCGCCTGGCCGCTAGATCCAGCTCGCTCCCGGCACGGACTGAGCCCTGACCCAGCAGCGAGCAGCGCCGCAACCAGGGCACAGGGAATCCCCCGTCCCCTCCCCAGCACACCGGGCGGGGCTGCCCCACCGCGTCCCTGCGGCTCCGCTGCCCTCGCCGCTCACGCAGGCGTCCCCTCGCTACATCTCTGTCTCTCTCACTCTCTCAGATCCTACAGAAATGTTGCCACCCCAGACAGGTCTGCACTGATTCTCACTCGTGTCTGGTTACCACCCACGTTCCATCACGTATCGGTTTATTTAGGGTCAGCTCCCCCAGCCAGCATCTAAGCTGCCCGGGACAGCTTCCCTCTACCTTGCTCACTGCAGTACTCCCAGCTCCGAAAACAGCCCCGCTCCACAAAGGTACTCAAAGAGTAAGAATGAATGCACTTTGGGAGACCGAGGCGGGCGGATCACCAGGTCAGGAGTTCCAGACCAGCCTGGCCAGCATGGTGAAACCCCGTCTCTACTAAAAATACAAAAAATAAGCTGGGAGTGCTGATGGGCGCCCGTAGTCCCAAGCTACTCGGGAGGCTAAGGCAGGAGAATCGCTTGAACCCAGTGAGCCAAGATTGTGCCACTGCACTCCAGCCTGGGTGACAGAGTGAGACTCCATCTCAAGAAAAAAAAAAAAAAAAAATGAACGGATGGAGCAGCTGTGTGACTGGTGGGCTTGGGACTCCCAGGTGCCCATCAACAGCCCTGTTGCAAAGGCGAGGGAGGAGAAGGAAAGGAGGCAAAACTCACCTGGGTCTGTTGTTCTAAAATAGAGACCTCTAGAATAACTTCCAGTTTATGGAAAATACAGGGGATAGAGGAACAAGATGATCAGTAAAATCCATAATGTGCCAGCCTGGATATGCGCCATTTTCTAAAGAAAACTTGCCTGGATACTCCAGCTAGAGGGAAGGGATAGAACCATTCCTTATCAGAGGAGACCAAAGAGATGCGAACTTGATGGAATCTTGGGGACTTGGGGGGACACACAGCTGTGATATGTGATAACTGGGGAAGTCGGAATTGACTTACGCATGAGATAGTGGTATCAGGGAATTGTCGCTGTGTTCTGTAAGTGTGATATGACAGTATTGTGGTTATTCAGGAGAACATCCAGTGTGCCTCAGATGCACAGTGACGTGTATGGGGCTGAGAGTTCATGGTGTCTGCAACTTTCAACACTTCAGCCAAAATGAGAAGGGAGAAAAGGAAGGGATAAATGTATCAAAATGTCTTAAAAATTAGTGACTCTAAGGAAAGCACATAGTCTTTCTTTTTCTGTAGATTCGAAATTTTCAAAATAAAAGTTGGAGGGTAGAAAACAAGAGGATATGTGGACAACTTTACCTCCCCACCAAAAGAAAATTGAGATGGCAGAAACCCCAGTCACGCACAGGAAGGCAGGAGATGCGTTAGCAAAGCACATGGCCGGAGGCTAACCGAGGTGACATGCCAGGCAGTGCATCTCTATTTCTTTTTTCCTTTTTTCTTTTTTTGGGATGGAGTTTCGCTCTCGTTGCCCAGGCAATGGCACAATCTCAGCTCACCACAACCTGCGCCTCCCGGGTTCGAGCAATTCTCCCGCCTCAGCCTCCTGAGTGGCTGGGATTACAGGTATATGCCACCACACCCAGCTAATTTTGTATTTTTAGTAGAGACGAGGTTTCTCCTTGTTGGTCAGGCTCGTCTTGAACTCTCAACCTCAGGTGATCTGCCCACCTCAGCCTCCCAGAGTGCTGGGATTACAGGTGTGAGCTACCATGCCTGGCCGAGATCCCTATTTCTGAGCACTGTAGGAAGTGTCAGGGGGAAAGTAAGCTACTGTGGGGAAATCCATCCCCCAGCCTCTAAAGGGGACAGAGGAAAGATGGAGGCAATTGCCCAAGGGCAGTGGTCTTGGGAAAAGGAAGGATGGAAACAAAAGGCAGGTGGATGTGGGTAGGGTGGTGACATCCAAGACAGTGAGATCAATAGATGGCCATCTACTTATGCTTATTTTCTTCCTGCCATTGTCATGGATAATTTTTTTTTTCTTTTTAAGATGGGTTTCACTCTTATTGCCCAAGCTAGAGTGCAATGGCATGATCTTAGCTCACTGCAACCTCTACCTCCCAGGTTTAAGCGATTCTCCTGCCTCAGCTTCCTGAGCACCTGGGATTATAGGCACTTGCCACCAGGCCCAGCCAACTTTTGTATTTTCAGTAGAGATGGTGTTTCACTATGTTGGCCAGGCTGCTCTCGAACTCCTGACTTCAGGTGATCCACCCGCCTCAGCCTCCCAAAGTGCTAGGGTTATAGGTGTGAGCCATCATGCCCAGCCTGCCATGGATAATTTAACATCAAATGTATGTACTATACTTGAGAAAAGTTAAAGCCATATGGAGAATGAGCATGGCCTCACTGCTCAGGCGGAGCCGATCTCTGCTCACAGAGTGTTTGCAGACCCTCATTCAGACACTCCCCGAGCAGAAACCTCAAGAGAGGTCCTCCATGTGATACAGGGATGAGCAACCCAAACTCAGAACAGGTCTTGCAATTCCTTATGCTGTATGAAATACCAGAAACATAGAAAACACAATATACTCCTACAAAAACTGAGAGTGGTTACATGTTTCCAAGTGATATGAGCTACACTTTACAATCATTTCCACCTTAGTATCCTTCTATTACACATTTATAATGTCCTGAGCATCTAATTTAATCCTTAAAGAAACCGTAAGGTTATATGATTTTACGGAGAAGAAAACTGAGGCTCAGAAAGGTTAGATGACTGGCGCCCAGCACAGCTAGGAGGGGTTAGGACATAGGGCTAGGACTCACTCACACAGGAGTATGCTCTCAAGTCTAAGTGGGAAGCTGGGTCTACATACAGCCTGGCCTCTTACCACTTTGCCATACAGTGGCTACTTTGAAATGTATGCTTCATCTATTTATTAGCAATGCCAAACAAAGAGATTATTTTTATGGGCTGCCTCTTTCTCAAAAAGATTTAAAATGCTTTACCACAAAAGAAACAATAATGAGGTCAATAAAATAAAACCAGAAAACCAGAGCCAAGGCAATGAGAAGAATGCGGATGTGGTAACATTGTGGG